AATACTTACCATGTACATTTCCTCGAGAAATTCCGAAGGAGTGTGTGAACGAATGAATGAATGAATTCAAAGACTTGCCCAAGGTCATAAATTCGTAATTAGAGGAATTAGAATTTGAACTCCCATCTCCTGACTTTTCACTAAGTACTCTTGGGTGAGACCAGAACATGCATGAAGGTAGCGAGGAAAAGTCAAGCAGGTGTCCTAGATCAGTTTAAGCCCATCCAGGGATGGATAAATGCAGCACTCTGGCCCCAGCACGTGAAGGATATTTCATTTTTCCAGTGTCTCTAAATCAGTTTTCTCCTGGCAGTGATAATGACCCTACACATGCCTGATATAAAGGACCTCTGCCTCATTAACTACTTGAACAGCTTCCACTACATTCCCTCTTTGTTGCAGAGTCAAGGTACACTGTGACCTTGGAACCAGAACTTTACCAAACAGCCAATACAAACTGGTGTAAAATGGGTGAAGTGAGTGAAAAATGTCTCTTACATACCCTTGAGGGGCAAGAAAAAGAGGCAAAATGTCATTACTTAGAGGCAATGGCCCATGGTACCCAAAGAACCCTAAGTATCTAAAATCCATTTCTAAGCAAATTTCCCTTCTAGGGGTAGACTCCCTTGTAGTTACCAATCATGGAAGATCACTCGATATGTAGGCCTTTCAGGCACCATTCAGCCTTTCTCAACCCAGATTCCTCATCTGAACTACAAAACACAGGAAATAATTTGAGTACATAACCTGGACCATCCTATGTTCTTAGGAGAGAAGGTGGTCCATTACATGCAAGGGCTACTGCAGGGCATTAGGGTTTGACTCTCCCAGGGAACACTGGCTGAGAAATGTGCTAGAGTAACCTGTATACCTACAAGTCATGAACAGGTCACAGTGGTTCTTACTGTGCACTTAGCACATGTGCGTATACACACACCCACACACACACACACTTCCAAAAAAGTCCTCTTTTTATGAGCTCTTAACAGTGTAAGTGAATTCATTACCTCCAGAATTTTATCAGAGGGAAAATTCATTTGTATTCATGAAATACAAAGACATTATTTTTCTCTATTTGAAAAACATAACAGGAAGATCAGCAAATCTTTTGCAGATATGCAGATTGTAACTTGAACAAAAATAGGCCGCTGGTACATTTATTATGAAGAATATTAAGTGGATTTTGTAGGCAAGTTAGACCAAAACACTTTCCTCTGAAGCGTTTGGGAAGTTATTTCCAACTTTTCAGTTAATCAACAAGTATTTTGAGAACATCACCCTCCTGAATAACCTGGGGGGATATGCAAAGAAAAAACACTTTGCATATTTTACCGATTACTGATATTTTTTCTTTACTTATGTTGATTGATTTAAATCCTTGTGTAAAACAAAAGTCAATTACTTGTCTCTCGTTACTTCATTTTGGTCACTAGTTTGCAGTTGGAAAATCAGTTTATAGTTGCTAAAATCAAGCAGAGCTTGAGAAGGAATTCACATTTATAGATTGCCTGTTAAGACCCAGGCATGGTGCCAGGTACTTTGCACATATAATCTCATCTAACCCCCATGAGGTAAGTGGTTTTATCATTTCCCTTTTACAGATTAAAAATATGAGACTCAGATTCACACACCCATTGACAGAGCTGGGATTCAAGCAGATTTCTGTGGCTCAGACCTTCAGAATTGTTCCAAGATTTAGCATAGCTTCCCCCAATGATGACTATAAGATAAATTAGGACATTTTACTTATTTTTCAGGTTTATATCCTCTTATTCAGCAGACAAAAATCTCTGCCAAATATGGCCACCTTTAACCTACCTTCGCATAAGATCAGAAGAAATGAGGAGCAGTTAATATGGAGGAATTAAAGTTCATGAGTGACAGTGTAAACTTGACCCTCTTACTGGGACTGATTGAAATGTACAGTATTCCCAAAGAGCTGGTGTGCCATGTTTCACAAGAAAAGAAGGTTAAAACTCAGAAGACTGAAGCACCCATGTCCTTAGAGTCCTGTAGTGGGGGAAATATATATATAAAATATAGTCAGGTGATTTAATTATGTTCTTTTATTCTCAATTGGTGATGAGTACATCAATTTGGCCCAGAGTCGTTTCACTCCTCTGTTCATTTGAAAATGTCACTTTCACTGATGGTCTTTAATTAGGTTCCCAGGAATTAGAAAACATGTCCCATGTCTCAGCTAGAGCAAGTGCCTGGGGTTCACCATCATATATAGTTTAACCTCTAGAAAATCCAGTGTCCCATGCCTCTCACAGAACTGCTGTGGGGTTTCCTCCTTCTTGGCATGGAGCCTTGGGGAGATGCTGTTAGGAAAAGTAATCTAAAGCTTTTTCTTTTGTCCAAAAGTACAATGCAGAGGCACTTTAAGAATAGGAGAAAGTCTTTCTGCTAAGCCTCTTTCAACAAAGCATTAATATTTATTAACTTGCTCTCTGCTGTAGAATGAATGTTTTATGATCAAAAATGAGTAACAACAAAATGGGAATTTTAACCACAAGCGACCTACTCTTCCAGTGATAAAGAACTCAGGATGGGGTTTGCCAACCACTCTCTCTCTGTTTAGGGGGACTTCTCATTCACTCATCTAGACAAGGGAGTAATTGAATCCTGCTCCATGTGATTACTGGAAATAGTCAGTAATCACAAAGTTAGGGGCTTCCTTTATCAATCAGAGCCAGCTAGAAATAAGCTATGAATTAATGTCATATTAATGCCATGTTAACTAATAGGCACATGTATTGAAAGGACTGAAGGATATTTCAAAAGCTCAGAATTATACATTTTAAATTTAGATTAGATCAATTCCCAAACAATTCAGACAAGAAAGGGTTTTTTTTTTCAATTTTGAACAAAAGCATATCTGTCTCAAGTTTTTTTAAATTAATTCTTTCACTATTTATTGAGTAGATTCTGTTTGCCAGGGACGTAGAAATGCATGGTTTTGAAATCACCATCAAGGTCTAAAATAGGGCTTTTATGAGATCTTTCCAGTTGACAGCTACCTTTACTAAATCGCTTTGTAATTCCTTTAGCAAACTACTCAGTCTTACTACAGCTTTTCATGGTGAGTTATTATATACTTAAGATGAACACGAGCATCTCAGCTCCATAATTAATGTACACACTGCATAAAGGCACAGAAATAAAAACCTGTTAGCATTTATTTCTGTCCTGTCAATTTCAGTGATTCAGTACAGAGATAACTGTATGGGGAACATGTAACAGTGAGTTTGTTGAATGTTCCTTTTCATAGTCTTGCGTGAAATTTCTATGTACATACTTTAAGAGTAGATTTCCAACACATCTCTTGTTTCCATTGTGACTAAGCAGCTTGGGAAAAGGGAATAAACGTTGATTTTAGAATCCGGCAGACCTGGGTATGAATTCTGGTTCTGTGTATAGTAAACTCTTACAAAATCTACTTAACCTGTATTTCTATTTCTTCACCTACAAAATAAACATGATAACATCTACTTGCAGGATTGTTGCAAGGAATATAGATAATGTATATAAAACAGCCAGCTCACAATAGGTTTTGCTTTTCTTTTTACATAAAAAATCTGAAAGGCCACACTAAGAATTGTTCTGTTTTATGTCATGTAATTCACCATGAAATTAAAATAACGCAACAAAAAAATAGACGAGATAAACATTTTGGGCCTGATTTATATTTGTCTCATGAGACTTATTTTACATTCAACATTTCCACTTAAGGTGTCTAATAAGAACAGTGTAGATTTTTAAATAACAGACTTTCAGACTGCCAAACGAGCTTGACAGAAAAGATCACCCTCCTCTCCCAATACCCACCCCTACCATACTCCAGAATCGTGATTGTTCTTCTGTCCCTGTTAGAGTATGGACATGATGGAGAGGAGAAAGAAAGAAACAAAATACCTAAATTTAAAAATTGTTTTGGATTCATCAGCATATAAAACGGTCAGCTTCAAAAAACAATCATTCACATGCCAGTTTTCAAGAACAGTGAAAACACAAGGTCTACTTTCATTATGAATCCAGAAAATAAATAAATACATAGACCTGTAAGTGTAATCTTAGTTTGAATGGAACATTTACTA